ATGAATTGTCAAAGACATTACTTCTCATCTTCTTGTGAACTAGTGGCCTGTAGTGGGTCTATCAAAGGGATCACTCAAGGCAACAGCTGACCGGCTGTAATTTGCCACCAGCCTAAACCTGCAAAGCCAGAAGTGACGCTCGTGTTTACTTACACGATAAACTCGTCTCACAGTCCTGCTGCTCCGCTGTCAGCTCGGTGTCAACGCATCCCGGGTCAAAGTCGCTCTGATCTCCCTTCTGCCGGTCACCGGAGCTCCGGGACCCGCCGAGGCTGTGCTCGTTCTTGAACAGCCCGCATGTGCATCCCTGCCGGCGCAGCACCTGCAGTTCGTGCTCCATCTCTGTCAGTCTGCACTCCAGGCGCTGGATCTCTTTGTCCCTGTCGGCCACCATCCGCTCATACTCGTAATTCTTGGCGCTGTTTACGCCGTACAAAACGTTTATCACCGAGTCTATGGCCAGCCGGATGGCGTTTTCCACCACCAGAGCCTCGTCGTCGCGGAGATGTTGGTGCAAAGTTCTGTTTTTGACCAAATCCATGTTTCCTTTAACTGACCTGTACTGACAGGCTGTGCTAGAGGGAGATGCTAGCGTTAGATGTGAGGATGCGCTGGCTCACTGAAGCGATAAGCCGCGCGCATGCGCCCTCCAAAAAACAACAATTAACACACAAATTAAAGCTTTTTTTTTAGTGATTAAAAATATAAAATGATGGAGTGTTACATTCTTAATGTCACTTATGCCGTGTCTATTACCGCTAGCTGAACAACAGAAGCAGCAGGGGCATCATTATCTTCTTCGCCTAAAAGTGGCGGTCAATAAATATTGACTTGACGGTGATAGCACCGACTACTGGTCATTTGACTAACTACACTAACAGTTACTATAGCAATGGTATGACATTACTGCAAATAAAGTTGTTTTTCTTTAACCTAGAGATTTATCTGACGGACTGATTTTTTTAAATTCATAGTTAAGGAATTAACTCAATCCAAAACTCACAGGTTATCAACATTTTCAGCACTATTTGGTTTATTTTGGGGATAAAACTATGTCCTAATCCTTTTGAATTAGCATAATTTCATCACCCATACTATTGTCAAGTTTTTTAAATCTTTCAGCAATCTTTAAAATATTTCTGAAGTAAAATCATCCAGATCAGTTTGTTGTTTAACTGCAAAGGAGCAAAAGAGAATGGATGGATCTTTTTTTTCCTACTTATTCTTAATCTATATATTTTCTTTTCTAAAAAGAAAATAAGTTGTTTTAATTCTTCTTGTAAATTACTTTAAATTATTGTTGTGTTTGAATCGAGCTATATAAATTAATGTGCCTTGCTTTGCCAGTTGCCTCAGAGGCCTCACTTGTTTTTGGTTTCATTTGGCCAAACTATTCTGCAATGATCCATGCACTCTGAAATCA